CTCTCTCTCTCTCTCTCTCTATATATATATATATGTGTGTGTGTATGTGTGTGTGTGTATGTATTTTTTCAAATTTATCTTTTAAGAGAAAGACAAGTACCCTTAGCAGGGTTTCACAATGTGATTCTCCCTTCCCATAGCCTTCCCAGGCAGCCAGGATCACGGGATGACAGGCCCAAGTGTACAAGTTGACCAGGGAACTGAACCCAGTGATCTTCCATAAGGATCCAGCATGGCTTGAGCAAGCATATTACTGCTTGCACTGTCAAGCCAGCCCCAACCAGACTTCTGTCTCATCATGCAACAAACTGCTCATATAAAGACTCTTGGTTTTTTATTAGTCTAGCCACTCTTGTATCCAGCATTGTGCGGGAGAAACTAGATAACATTTTAGGAAAAGAATAAAAGTGGTATTAAATGGGAGGAGAAAGAGCAACAGTGGCATAATTTACTAATATATTTACATTATTTGTGTCATAAAAACAAATTTTAAAACATTTAAATGAGGCGCCAGCAGGTGGCTTAGTGGTTAAGGTGCTGATGGCCAACTGTAGTTCTGGTCCTGGACCTTGTGGCTTGAAATTCAGATTGAGCACATATCCATGCATGCCTGAGAACCCAAGATGAATATGGAGGAGAAGGGATTGTGGTGTAACCAACCCCCTGGGGGCTGATTTCTCTCTTTCTGTCTCTCTGGTGAGTGTACACGCTCTATAGCAAAAATTTCTCAAAAAAAAAAAAATTGAAGTGATAGTCTTTAAAAAGATTCTTTTTAGTAATTTAATTTTACAGTGTACTTAAGAATTGTTGAATAATTATTTTAATCAAGTTATATATATATACATATATATATTTGAGAAGTTTTTGCTATAGGGTGCGTGCAGTCGCAAAAAAAAACAGATAGAGATAGAAAGCAAGAAATCCTCCCTCCCTCCCGGGAGGGGATGGTCACACCGCAGTCCCTTCTCCTCCATTCTCCTCTCGGGATCTTGGGCACATACACAACGTGCCCGGCATGATTTTAAGCCACCAGATCCGGGACCCGAACTGTGGTTGACTACATGGGAGTCTAGTGCCGTAGCCATTATGTCATCTGCTGGTCCCCTAAATCAGGTTATATTTTTTTCCTCTAGAGCTACAGAGACTTCTGAAGTGGAAAGTCTGCGACCTCCTCGGTTCTTTAATGAAGATGGAGTTATCAGGCCTTACAGGTTGAGAGATGGCACTGGAAATCAAATGTTGCAGGTAAGTCAAGAAGTATCTTATCAATTAGATCAGTCAACTTAGTTTAGTTTGTTGAGATTTTTTTTTTCAAATAGCTCCTTAATGCTTTAAATATAAGATTATTTGGACTTTTATGTGCTTCACCTAATTCCATTTATAAGTTTCTTATATTTAGGTTTTAAAGTACCTTTATTTACTATGAGATTTTTTTTTCTTTTTTACAGGCATCAAAAAGTTTGATATGAGAACAGTTAATGCATGACTTTGCAAGTGAAAGCCAGCAGTAGATTTTAGTCTTAAAATGTACAAACTACGTACAGCTGTTTCAGTATTTTGAATACAAAGGAAAGCTTTTGTATTGGTAACTTTTTAGTAGGAATTTTAGTGAATCTGCTTTTTATAAAGTGTCCTTAATTCTGCACTGTGTTTGCTAGACTTGGTGAGAACCAAGGTGCCTTATGTACCCTCTTGCTCGGTGGTACTGTTCAGCCAATCAGTCCATCTGTTTCCACTAGGAGCTTTTACACCAGCTCTAATCTTCATACCCAATTAGGTACAAAGAAAGAAAAACTTCTCAGGAACATTGCTGTGGCAAATTACTCTTGGGTTCTTATGCTTTGCTTTTGAAGATGTTGGAATGGCCATGACCACCTTCTTGGTTTTCCTAGTGTAACCTGTGGAAAACCTTGGGGGTTTGATAAGCTGTTCATATGTAAGCCAGTGTCATTTAGTAAGGAAAATTGTCTTTGGAACAATAGACAGTTTGAAAATAGAATATTTTATCTGTTTGGACAACTTTCTCACGTGGTAAATCAGACTTTTTAAAATCTGGATTTTCGTGTACGTAACCTAGTAATTATATACTAGGATATACAAGTGTGAAGTAATTTCTGTGGCTTAGATATGGAATACTAATTTGAATCGTTTGAAAACAGAGTCATTGTGTCTTAGAGACGTGAACATATTGGTGGTGGTAATAAACTGTTGCAATATGGAACTTCCAGAAGCTTTGATATTTTAAATACTTTCATGTTTAAAGTGATCAGGATAAAGATTTAAAGCGTTAATATTTTATCTGCTGCATAGTATATAACATTGCATAAAGTGTACTTCTAAGTCTTTTTCTAAACCATCTTTCTAATGAATTATTAGAAGTAACCATAGGATAAATATAAAAAATATACAGTATTTAGGGAAGTGATTTTATATTATGTTTAAAATATTTTGAAGCAGAAAAATGCATATTGGGATAGGATTGGCAGTTTACTCAGAGGTTGTGCTCTAAGGATGTACTGCAGAATCTCTACAATGGCAGTATGTCATTCTTTGGAAGATGAAAAGTGGCAGAAATCACCTATGGCTAATACAGGTGAACCATATATATATTGGCCCCATACCTGCCATCTCCTCCACAATCAACATAAATTACTAATGTTTTACTCAACTGAAAGTTGAATAGGTCTCCAATCACCTTGAAACACCAAAATGTTTCTATAGTAATTTAGTAAACTTGAAAGTAAGAGTAAGTAATGAGGATAGCTTCAAAATGCATCCTCATTATAAGGGAATAAATTATAAGGAAGACAAAAGATACCAGAAATTTCCCCTAGTCGATCATTTGATTTTAATGATAACTAAATTTATACCACACCTTTCTTTATTGCCTTTTGAAACTTTACATTTTGGGATTTAAAGGCATGACTTTTGACTGTATTTTTTAATAGGTGTGTCTTAGCATTTATTGTCAAAAGAGCTTCTAAAAGACTAAAAACTCACTCCTTGTCAGCCATTACTTGTTTTTCTACAAGAGTTAAGCTAAGTCTTACCTGGAATATGTGTAGAAATCCATTAGATGCCTTGGGCTGTCTGTGGTTAGCATTGTTCTTTTCCAAGTCTAAGAAGTAGGTTGTCATTTTGATAGTAGTTGCGTTTTTTTTTTCATTGAAACTCTAATATATTATTAGCAAATACTTTAGAATATATGAATACCAGTACTGTGAAAAATTAGATAACATGTAAACTGGATTTAAGATCTCATCCACTTAGACTTCATCTAAATGATTTAACGATGGTGCCTTAGTAAATATTTGGTACTTCCTTCCAAACGTCTCTCCTTTTTTTCATTTTCTATCAAAAGGAGCTCTGTGTTCACTAAATTATATATGCCTATATGATATTACTAAATAAAAATACATTCAATCATTGTATACCTATCGGTCTAGAAAGTAGCACATTATGGTGCTCCCTGGTAGTCAATTACAGATGCCTACTAGATTACGATGACAGTTTCAGTGTCTTCGTAGCATACCTTGTCAGTATTATCAAACCATTTTATACTTTCAGTTTGTACCAGGTTATAAACGTTATAAAGTCATAGAATATTATATCCATGAATATAGCCTGAGTCACAACTAAAAAAATCTGCTTTAAAATTATTCCGAGTCCTTAAACATTTCATATTTTTACATGTTTTCCAAGAATTTTCTCATACTTAACTAACCTTTGTGCTTCTTTTTTCCTTTACCATGCTTGCAGAAAATTCAGGCCTACAGGGAGTGGATTATGACTCACAGTATCAGTAGCGATGATGATGATGATGATGCTTAGTCAGATTTAACTGTTACAATTCATGTGCTCTTTCTCATTTCACTTGGAATGCTTCACTAACATGTTCTGTATGGCTGCTACCGTAACGCCCCTGTGTCCATTTTTAGGGAGGTAAAGCACTTTTTTCTTTTAAACTGTTTTCCTACACAGCGCCACAAACCAAAATAGTTGCATTATTGACATACAGAAAAAAATGCATTTTACATCCAAAGTAGGGCTTATTATACTCCATAGATTTACTTTTATATATTTATATGTGTGTGTTACAGTTTGTCTCTAAGATTTGAAGTGAAATTTAATATATTTTTAAATGTTCACTGGTTTTAAAAAATTTGTTAGCAAGCATATCTTTTTTTAATTAACATTCTCTGTAAATTTTGTGGCCTGTAATGTAATCCCATTGTGTAAAAGACAAGGAAAAAAAAAGTAATAGCTATTTATTGTTCCATATTTATTTAGCATTTTAAGGTTATTTTGTCAAATTTATTTTAATAATAAACTGTGTAACCTAAACCACTGTGAATTTGTTGTTCTATTTCAAAATTATAAAAGCTGATAAACTACTGTTACATGTTGTTCTATTTCAAAATTATAAAAGCTGAGAAAATGCTGTTACAAAAAATATTCATGGTTTGCATGGCAGTAAGTTAGATAATGGAATAATTTATAGTCTGGAAATGAAAAAATTGTTTTTATTTCTTTGGCTCACTTTTCATTGTTTCATTCTACGTATTTTTTGTGATACGTTGAACACCCTTAGTTTTTACAATCGTTATATTTACTTATTAATTTACATATCCTCACACTATGGCCCTATTATAAGTTGTTAGGAAAGAATTAATTCAGAATTTTAGTATTTTTATAGTAAATATAGTTACATATAGGGAAATATTGTCTGTGTCTCTGAAAGATCCATGAGCAGATCTGTTTTATATTTTGTGTACTAAAGGTTTTTAAAATATATTTCAGCCTACGTGAAACTACCCCAGGATAGCATACATATAAAAGAAACATCTGAAAATAAATGATCAATAGTAGCTTTTACGTCAGTCCGTTATGCTTTTGAATCAACAAATGAACAGTAACTTTGACTTATATTAAGCACTTTGTTTCTATTGAGTATATTAGTAAATAATTTGCCTTATTGTTCAACTTTTGATTTAATTAATTCATCCCATAGTTTCTGAAGTTCTTCTAATAGTCTAGGTTCATCAGGTTTCTGTTTCTTCTTCTTTTTTTTAATTTTTATTTTTTAATTTGCTGAGAGTGCATGCACTTGCAAGAGAGGGACAGAGAAAGGGATAGGGAGAGACCCTCCCATGGGAAATGGTCAAACTATAGTCCCTCCTCTTCATTTCTTCCTCCTTTGGGGATACTTGGTACACACATACACACGCCTGACTTGTTTCTCAAGAGCTGCGCAGTCAGTCTTGTGGGATCCAGTCTCCTTAACCATCATGCCACAGACTGGCCCCAAGCTTCTACTTTTATAAATCATTATTCTTTATGTTCTTTGAAAATTAACAGTTTCAAAATATAGAGTTGACCCCCCACCCCAAAAAAGGGCTAAAAATAATCCACTCTTTGAAAAATGTTATCTACCTAGCATTTATTCATACTAAATAGAAATCAAAGTCATGTTTACTGGGACAAAGAAATATGGACAGGTCAAATAATTTAATTATTGCTTATATCACAATAATGTTCTTTTTTCATCATTATTATTTTTTTTAATTTGACCAGACAGAGAGAGAGAGAGTGAGAGGGAAAGTGTTGAAAGCAAACCACCCGGCCCAAGACTCAAACATGTCAGCCATGTGATAGTCCAGTGTCTTAAACATCATGCCATCTGCTGGTCCCACAATAATATTCATACCTTTTTAGAATAAGTAAGTAAAAATAATGACCGCTAAATTACTATTGATTTCAGATTGAATTTGTATCTGTTATATATACATTGCTCTCTCACCCTTGGCAAAAATCAAGTAAAACCCACTGCTTGTACCAGAAGCTAGAAAAGAATATAACCTTTTGTTACCTCTTTTGAAGAAGGAAGGATCTAGAAATGTTTTCCCTGGATCTTTACTTAAAAGCTTTGCCAGAAGCAAGGCCTCTGTAAAAATAATGCTAAACAACTCGTCTATAAAACAGGTACTGGATTTCCAAGACAGTTACTCAGTTTCCTGTCACTGTTCTGTGACAATTTTTTTATGAATTTTATAAAGATGTTAGCTGTCTATTTCTTAAGAATTTATCTTGGAAAAAACTGGTTATTTGAACAGTGACTTACCATTTTAATGAGAAAATTAAGGTAGGATTATATTGATTTAAGATGCCTTCAGCAGGGCCAGCAGGTTGTATAATGGTTAAGGCACTGGATGATTGACCGCGGTTCATGTCCTGGACCCGGCAAC